CTGAAGATAGCCTGACATCCAGACATTCGTTCACAGTCAGTGGCATTTGTTTAGGACAACTACGCACAGTCACTGCAGCCTCAGCAGACACAGCAGAATTCATTCATTCGAGTATGCCTTATAGAAGAAGGATGACCATCACCATCTCTAAGAAAGAGCTACTAAAACTTTACATTGATATAATTATGGTGTTATCAACCCCAATATTGTCTAATTAATTCATTTTATTACACTTTACTTAATAGTGTGAGTTCGAGTTCCTCCAAGCCATTGAAACATTGTGGGATGATTTGGGGGCTACCCTTTTTGATATTACCTTTTCTTTCTTTTTTTTAATGGTCTGATATCTTTTTAAATGTTTTATTTATATGTTTATTTAGTACAATTTATTCACTTTGCATCCTTAGTGCAGCACCCTTCCTCATCTCCTCCTAGTCCCACCCACCCTCCCTCTTCTCCCCTACGCCCTTTCCTGCCCTTTCCCTAGTCCACTGATAGGGGAGGTCCCTAACCTATCAGGTCTCATCAAGGCTGGCTGCCTCCTCTGTGGCCTGGCTAAAGCTGCTCACCACAGGGGGTGGTGATAAAAGAGCAGCCCATTCAGTTTATGTCAGAGACAGACCCTGTTCTCCTTACTAGGGAACCCACTTGGAAAATGAGCAGGTCCTCTCCATGCATGGTCTTTGTATGGAATGTTAGTCTCTGCAGGCCCCCCTACCTGGCCCAGTTATTTTGGCTTTGTTGTTCTCCTTGTGGAGTTCGTGTCCCTTCCAGGTCTTTCTATCTCCCTCTTCTTCCATAAGGATTCTTTTTCGATTTTAGAGTTTCAAGAGAAAGATGCATGTTAGCTGTTGTGTCAGTGTTGGAATCTTTACCCTATTCAATTTACTGTTCTCACTTAAAATTGTATTATTTGGAAATAGATATAAGTACAGTGTTAGCATATATTAATTGCACACAGAATAACTGACTTATGAGACTTTTATACCTGTGTACTGTGTGATCATATTCACACCTTTGCTCTTGCTTCATCCTCTTTCCAGATGACCTCTCTCCCCTATAGTTGCTTTTCTACTTTCACATGATTGATTTTTAGATCTTATCCTCTAATCTCCCATGATTGTTATTCACACCTTGCTTTCAGCTCACCTGAGCCCAGCTCTTCATGTATGCAAGCAATTCCTCCTAAACTCTTTCTCTTGTTTGCCCTCAAAGAAGCATTTAGTCTCATTATTGATCCAAACAGAGTACTTAAATGTCCAGTTTTGTTTGGGTTATTTTGAGCGAAACTGCGTCATAAAATTTTCATTTATTTTTTACTCTTCCTTATGTAGAGTAACGGTAGTTGTTAACAAAATTGTTTAAAACATTAGTTTTACTTTCAATAACTGTGCAACATTCCTGTTGCTGGTTTTTATTTTTTTCTATAACAGGTTTTTCACTATATTGCCCCTGCTGGCTTTAAACTTATGGTACTCCTTCTGCCTTAGCCTCTCAGAGTCCAGTAATTATTGGTATAAGCTACCATACTTGTCTATAGCATAAGTATGATGTTGTTTTTTATTGCATTTTGATATATAAAACAATGTTTAAATTTAAATAGATTTTAATCATATTGTTGCTGTTACCCAAGTACTTCCAGTTTCCCTCATCTTCATTAGCCACCCAACTTTAAGTTCCTTCTCAAAAAACAAAAGCTCAATATAACAACAAATCCACCAACACCAAGAAAAGTAGAATGAACCCAAAAAGAAAAAAAAAATCAAACTGTAAAGAAAAGCACATGGAGAAAAGTATGAAGTCCATTATATGTTGGTCAAGTACTCCTGACCATGAGGCCTGTCCTAGAATGACTGATATACCTATTGTCATTCTATGAGAGAAACCGTCTCTCAGAAGGCATAAGGGCCCGTTCAGTTGTTAACTTTAACTCTAGTGGCTATGTTTTCATTCATATATGAGAGATGATTATAGCATATGTTCACTTAAATATGGGCGTGGGTGAAGTTAATGATGTCCAACGAACAACCCATTGACCCACAGAGAGTAGTTAGAGTCTAACAGACTAAAGGGATCAGATAGACCTCATTGGGCAATAGAGTAGATAGCTATAGATAGATGGAGATGGCTGGATTAGAAGGATCAAGTGGAGAGGGAAAGAAGAGAGGTGATTCTTGTAAGGACTACAGCTAAAATTAAGGGATATTTGAGGGGTGGTATCAAAACTTAAGATAGTAGCAAATTCTAAAAATATATACATATATAGGCGAGCTAAATTAAATTAGAATAATATTTTCATTAAATTAGTTGGAGGTTTTTAATTTATGTCTTCCACTATTTTATATAGTTTATCTGTTATAATAAACATAATATAACATGTAATCTATATAAGAACATTCTTGCAGTGTTCTTCATAGAAATCCCATTTTCTTTTTGTTCTATATTTAAGACCCAAATCAGGCTACCTGATATTAACGATAAGCCAACAAGATCTTTTTAGTGCTGGAGAAACTAACAAACAAACAAAAGTGTGATGATCTTTTCTGCCAACCCCTTTTTAAATGCCAAATAAAAAATGAATAAGAATACAAGACTGTATTTTGCTTAATACATTAGCTTTTAGAAATACTGCTAAGTCAATTGCTAACCAGATTACATTTGTATAATTCTAGCATGAAAGATCAAAGTCTGTGAAACTATACTGAGTGTGTAGTTATTGCTGTCATTCAGATTTGATCAAGTATTAAAACTATAGTTCCCTTTACCACCAGTACTTTATGTACGTAAGTACTTTATGTCTTAGATAGCAGAAGCACTCACAACTAAGAAGTCTGGTGTTCAATGGTACAATCTGCTGGCTTTTCTTCCCAAAGGGTCATTTCATAATAGTGCTAGGCTATATTGGTATCTGGGGGCAGGGTGGCATGATAGAGGAAAAGAGGTTTCACTTGGAGTCTTTCTACAAGCATCAGCCCATGGGGATGACCACAAATATAAGTCCAAATTAATTCTTATTTCTTTCATAAAGCATGATATTTCATTTACCCTTCTTCCATCGCTTGTTTTATACTGTGGTTGTTGTAGTTCTTTTCTCTCTCCATGCTGAATTGTGAGCTCATGTCAGACATTTTCTAACCAAAGCCAGCCAGTGATTCCCACTGACATGATTTGCAGGACCACACTGCAACTCCATGACCTTGGAATTTTTGTGCATTTCCCATCTTCCATTCAAAATCACAATAGCATCTCCTCCTTGAGGACATGAGCTAGTGGTAAAAATATTAGACATCCTACCAAATTCAAATTTATCAACTGCCCATGGCCCAACAGTAAGATATTGCATGTATAGTCAATAAGAAGAACAATAAAGTGATATATTTATATTTATATATATATTTATATACATAATCTTAGAATTCTATTTTCATTGGTAAAGCAGACTTAGTAGTTAAGGATCTTTCCAGTTGTCTAAATGTCTAATTTTGTGAGACTGGTCCTTATTGTGACAGTACATACTGCTGTGTTCCAAGAAAACGAACCAAGAGACAGAGTATCTTTATTTCATATGAAAACCAAAGAATATTAGGGCAGATTTTGGAAGGAAGTGTGCTGTCCATTAAAAGAGAAAATCATCCTATTCAAAAAATCTTGGTGCATTTAAGCATTATAATGGGGGCTGATGAAATGGCTCAGCAGTTAAGGCACTTGACACTTACGCAAAGGATAAGAGTTAAAATCCCCAGAACCATATAAATGCAGGTGATTGTGGTGTCTCTCCAGTAATCCAGACTTTGAAGGTGGAGATGGGAAACCCCAAGCAAGCAAGCTAATAAGACAGGTCATATGGACAAGATCTGTTTCGATGTAAGAGCATACATCAATAAGTAAAGTAGAAGAAAGTAGAAGAGATTCCTAACAGCAACTTTGGACCTTAACAGACAAATGCATGCACACGCACACACACACACAATCACATACTTGTACACATAAAAAATGTAAAAATAAATAATAAAGTATAATAAAAATAACACAAAGAAAAATGCGAGCTCTACTGGAGCTGGTTCTGCGAACATTTTCAGGGTTTCTATCGTGGGCTATATATAAACTCTCATTATGAGAACTCTCATGGACTTCGCTGGACTCCAGAAAAGAGGTAAATGGATTGTTAGAGTAGAGTGAGTCAGGTTTGGGAAGGAGCATATTCTTTAAAGTGAGACTTCTAATGGGACCCATTGACCAATGATGGATGAGTTCAGAGAAATACACTCATTTATTTCACATCCATGAAGTTCCCAACAATTCGGAATATTTATTTTGCCTTGATTTTTCCCCCCCAACTGGAGTTGCAAACACTGAGATTGAAATCAGTTGAGGGAAAACTTGTTTTCAAGAGTCTTTTCAATTTTCTTCTGTGGCAATTTAGTCAAGCAACCTGCTTGGAAATAATCTATTTGTAGAACCTAGGTGGAGGAAAAGCTGCCACATTATATAATTCACCGAGCAGGTCTTGGCTCCCACTCTGCCAATCCATCTAAGTAGTGGCTACTGCCCTGCATCTCGCCACACATATGATCAAGCAATTTAGCAGAAAAACAGAAAGGGCCTGGAATTTGGCATCCCCGTGGACATTTATCTCTGAGAAAACCAAATGGAGCCAACTTTTGCCTGAGTTTAATAGCAAAGCTGTCACATTTTACACAAATGAGTATTGAAGTCTGCTGGCAAACGGGAAGGGGGTGTTGATGGGGGAGTGGAGGAGGAGGGAATGCTGACTGGACTCTTTTCAAAGTGGCTCCAGTTTTTAGGGGAGGGGCCAGATGCTTCCTTGGCAGGAGAGATGAAGTAGTTAAAATGATTACTAGCTAGGGGTTGGAACCCCAGGCTCTGGGTGTATATAAGACGTCGCAGCCAGCGCAGAGCGGCTGCTGCTGCTGCTGCTGCTGCTGCTGCTGCTGCTGCTGTCAGAGCCAGGGCACACCGCCTCAGCCGCTTAGGACACAGCGACCTGAGAAGGAAGCGAGGGAGGGTGCTGAGCTTTGCGCTAAGGCTCCTGGTTCACCTTTGCAACAGATACAGACACAGGAACCCCTACCCTGCCTTCTGTCCCCAGACACACGCCCACAGTCGCCTGCACTCCAGCCGGGTGCCGCACGGGGCGGCCTGGCAGCAGGTCCTCGCTGAAGGCGATGCTTAGAGGGATCCTAGCTCCTGCGCTGGGAAAGAGGGAGTAGGACCGAGCAGGAAAGCAAGGAGGCTGCCGGTTAGAGCCGCCGGGGCTGTGCTGCGGGAGGACCTCGCCTTTGCTCCACTGGACACCTGCTGCAGAAGCCCAGCCACCATGATCCGCACGGCCTCGTTAATTCTGGGAGCTGCGATCCTCTGCGCCCAGGGAGTCTTTGCCCGAAGGGTAGTCAGCGGTGAGTCAGGGCAGGGGTACTATCTATCCTGTGGAAGATAGGGCGCTTGGGACTTTGGGGCGCTATGAGGCAGGCTGCACTAGGGTGGAGACTTCTCACAGAGTTGGAAAACTGTACTTCGTAGGGTTCAGAGAGTGGGTGAAAAGTGTCGTCTTTTCCTTTCAAACCTCCATGCAGCACAGAAAAGTTTCCGTTTTCTAAAACGCTTTCTATAGCTACGGAGCGAGCTGTAGCTAAACCCGGAGCACGATTTTCTACTTTCTTTGGATGTCAGTGAGCGGAGCACAGGCAGGAAGGGTTGGGCGCCTGAGAAAGGGGTGTGGTAGAGCTAGATAGACAGAGGATGGACACTAAAGAGCTGCGGCATGACTGCCACCCCCTGTTGGTCCCGCTCCAGTCCCACCAGGGTGCCCCCACCAGGATGGTTCCTGAGACTAGCCCAGTTCAGAAGTCTGAATTTGCAGCCTTTGTTCTCAGGAGGGCTGATAAAGAAGAGAGGAGAGTCACTGCCCTGTCGCCTTTGTCTCTGCACACTTTATTCCAAGTTAGGTAACTCAGGAAACAGTCGATTGGAGTCGGGTTAAAGGTTTGGTTTGAAGTATACTTGGTAACAAAGTTGTATGTGTGCATACAGAAGGGGGCAATTAAGTCTTTCAAATTAGTGAAAGGGTAATGGGTCCAAGTTGCCAGCTTCCTGACTTTGTCTCTGATTTTTATTTTTCGGTGTCCATTGTCTAGTCTTTGAGCAAGACTAGACACCGTACCACCTTCTCTTAGTTTGGGGAGCGTCTAACTTTAAATCTGTAGACAGTGACAGAGATGGCTAGGCAGCACTGCTTGTGAAGGCTGAACGGTCACCCGCAGTGAGAGCTCCTGGCTCACCAAACTGTTGCAGTGGGTTTGCTGAAAGTATACCGGTGCTTTAAGGGCAAAGTGTTTGCTTCTAACACACAAGGCAAATGGGGTCCCCCGAAAGCTTGTCCATATAAGAACTGGTGTAGAAGATAGATGTGAGATGAAAGCAACTCAGTGAGTTTGGAAAACATCTTTAGCATCCAGAAGCCGGCCTCTGACCTTCCACTCAGCAATTCATGTAATTCACTCAGTCAGGTAATTTTCTTAATTGTACAGGTGACTAATCGGTCTCCAGTAGCTTTTCACAGGATGTTCAGAGCCTACGAGTTTTAAATCCTTGTCCGCCCTGTTTAGGAGAGGATGAAGAGGTGCATCTGGATCTATCTTGTGGAACCAACTATATTTTGCACTACCTTTTTTGTGCAAACAGATTGAATTGCTCTCGAGACTATGTTTTGAATATTTGAGGTTTTTTAAGCAAATCGAAGCTTTTAACTTGAACAGTGTTCCTTTGTTGTGTTCTTAATTATATGCCTTAAAGTTCCAGGTTGTGGAGGGGTGGCTATCCAGTGCAGAAAATCCAACTGAAGTACTTTGTTGACGAAAAGTGTAATTTTCATCATACTTCTACAAAAAATGATCCCAGACTTTTGGCTATGCTTTTCTTTAGCATTCATAGGCATCTTGAAGGTGACTTCTGGAAAATTTCTGAGTAACCGAGTATGATTTATTTGATTTAGAGTAAATGATGATGCTGACTTGAGATTTGAACAATTATTACTTAGTTATGTTTTTCTTATGAATAATTTGATTGTCACATTGAAGTTTATCTTACCTATAAATTGATATGAATCATAGTATTTGATAAATTCTAGCTGTTACTGGCTAGGCAGAGAGCAGCCTAAAATCTGTTATTTTTGAAGCAATGCTTTCTAACATTTCCACTACCAGCCTGTTGATGTTTGTTCTGAATGGTGCAGCAATCATTTCATGCCACTAGGGACCAGTTAACCCAGTCTCCTCTAAAGTGCCCGGAGAGAATGGAGACAGGGTCTTCTCTTTCCACTACTTGGAACACCTTAGAACACAGGGGGGAAAAATCTATTCATTAAATCTCAGGACAACAATTTATAATTTTTGTGCAATATCAAATAATCACTTACTCACCATGCCCTCAAAGACAGACACTGACCAACTTAATCTCCAGATGTCTTTCATGTTTCAAAACATTCAACAAGATACATTCTGATACTTTAAACACAGTATTTTAAAGAGAAAAATGTTTTAGGGATAAATACATTTCCAGCAGCTTCATCATTAGCTGATATACACAAGATTTTCTGCTATCTGATGTAATAAGACAGTACACAGACACACAGAAGACCATAATGATAATAATCAGTGTATTTACTGATTTATTTATGATTCGCAGGAATCTAATTTGAGTATCTGATTTGTGTGGTGATTTCTTACTCTATGCAGATGCGTGGGGAACATCTGTTGCATCTCTTTAATCACTCAGTTCAGAAAGTCACTAGCTGGTAGTGGCATTTTTCTTCTGGTAAAGTTTAATGGTTTTTTTTTTTTTTTTTTTCCTTATGGTATAATATGAAAAGGGGAGTTTAAAACTTGGGGCCTCTAGTTTAGGAGAATATGTTTGGTAAGCAAGTGACATTTTAAGGAAACATGTGAAATATTTTAATGACTTGTTTGTCTGTTTCATTTTTTAGAGTTTGGAGCACTAGTCCCCAACATCATCCTGCTGCGATGTGGCTCTAGCAATATTTGAAAGTACCCTCACATTTCTCCAGACCACTCTAAACGTTCAGCCTTAGCTCAGCGATTGTTGAGCTATACTTTATCTTAAAGGCTAAGCAATAACAGACCTTTAGAAACAAGGGTAGTAGGCCTGCTGCTGACTTCAGCAATCCATGTGTTTCATGGAGTCAGACATACTTTTTAAATGTACAATTAACCAATCACTTTCCACTAACTTTTCTCAGTCTATGACTAAGTAATTTTCTCCACAATTTTGCAGAGAATAAAGAGTTCACTATTCATTAGAGAGAGATCTGGCTAGTGGGAACAATTACATGCGGACCTCTCTTTTTATTTATTTATTTTTATTTTTTTATATTAATCTCAGGTTATTTACTTTGTATCCCAGCACTAGTCCCCTCCCTCATTCCCTCCCAATCCCATACTCCCTCCCTCATTTCCTCCCTGTCCCTTTCAAAGTCCACTACAGGAACTGTTTCTGACATGAACTCAACGACTGGCTCCTTTACCTCTCAGCCCCAGGAGGAAGGAACAGTCTTACTAGACCACAGAGGAGGACATGGCAGCCAGTCCTGAAGATACCTGATAAGCTAGGGTCAGTTGGAAGGGGAGGAGAACCTCCCCTAGTAGTGGACTTTTTTTTTTTATCCCCTAGAGACTATAGAGTATTGCATAAGTGATGAAAGTGGCTTTAAAAAGTGATTCAATAGTAAGGAAGATATAAATGAAGCTGTTATAACATAGTCTAGCTAATAGAACAATTCCATGACATCATCAAAGAAGAAAATGATGACACTGAAAGTTGCAAGGATGCAATTACTTTAAGTATCTCTTGGGCAAGAAAGGAGCAAATTAATCTTATTACTAGGCATTTAATAAACTGCCCATTTATCATAGGCATTATTTCTTAGTGGCTTTTCATCATTATCTTATGGTGGCAATATCTATCCATTAACGCTAAAAAAGCATCTGTAATTTAAAGAGGGCTCTGAGAGGGGATATCCAGCTGATGCTCCATTAGTAACTTTTATTATTTACAACTCTCTTCTGTGACAGATATTCACATGCAGGTACATACATACAGACAAATGTGAAGTGGAAAGTTTTTAAGTTGTTTTAATGTACTACTGATGCCACATCACTCCATGAAAATCGGACTACAGTGATAATCTTTGTATTTGAGACAGCACTCAATGTAGGCTTTGTTTTATTAATAAAACAAAGAAGCAGATGAGACATCACACACACACACACACACACACACACACATATTTAGAAAATTAACTTTTATTTAATTATTGAGCATGGAAAATCCACACTCAGAAACAAGATCCCAACATACAATCCTGTGCTCATACCACCAATCAATAAGCCACCAATGGCTATATTAAATCAATGTCTCTAACACAGAAGAGATGTGTTTATCAATCCCTTTATTCATAAAGTATTCTAACAGTATACTGGTTGAGACACATGTGGAGAAGCATAGACATCATGGAAAATCTGAAGCAGAACCAATTAACTTGGTTCCAAACCTGAAATTGCAATTTTGAGCTGTGTCAACTTGGACAAACCATTAAACTCAGTGTTTCCCTTTCCTATTTCAAAGATGGGAAGAGAGACTCTACTAGTGGCTAGGAAGATTGAAAGGTTTTTGATACAATTTGTGTCTAGTGAAGATGGTTGGAGGAAGGGCTTAGCCTGGTAAGGCCTGTGTCTAAAGCTGAGCTTTCTTGGGGCAAAGGTAATTTTTATATTTGAGCAGTTTATCAGAAGAACCTCTTACTCCTTATATACAAATATCAACAGATTCAAATTTTCCACTACCTGTAAAAATGTGAATTATAGTGGATGCAATGTATCATATTTCAAATTATCAATCAATGTCAGATGCTTATTGTCATTAGCTCTATGACACGTACAGCCTTTTGTCAGTTTTTAAGGAAAAGATCATGAACGTTACCTGAGGTTCTACTGAGTTTTTGATTGGCTTCTTAAATTCCCAAGTCATATTAATACATGATTTTCTATTCACAATCTTTATATCTATTTCAAATATCACCATTTAAAATATGAGGCCACTACCTTCTCCGAAGCCTGTGGTTTTTCTTGGGGGGAATAAATATGGATGGTCGTTGCTTCTATCATCCCTGAAGTGGCAAATGTGATGTTCTTAGTGTGAGAGTATGGATTCTACCTATAGTGCACTCTGTAATTAAGTGAATCTCAAAATTCATCTCACAGAAACAGCCAACTGGTGTACATTTGAGAGCCACAAACAGGAAACTTGGAATAAATGGCACTCTCTTTCACTTAGTTCAGGATAACTGGCTTTATTCTCTAAGGACAAACAACATGTATACTGCAGTACAGTACCACCATGTGCTTTGAGGGAGATATAGAGAATTACAGTAAAGATCAACTTTTTGGATTCTACTAGACTTTCTTGAGAGCAGACAATCTGGGTTAGGTGAGATTTATCATACAGTCCATTATATATATCTTATATATGTCTTCTATGTTTTTATGTACATATCTTATATGTCTTCTATGATTTTATTTGACATGATCTATATGCAACACTTTTCTGATGTTGGCTACATTTGATTATAGTAACGGGGCTAAGGAAACATTTAACAACCTTACAAATGCAAAGCATTCTACAGTAAATAACTTGAGTAAAGTAAAAGTAAATAATTGTTCATATTCATGACGAAACAAATTGTTATAACTTCATGAATTTGTCCTTGGTTTTGTGTCATTGCCAAAACTAGTTTCAAACTTTATCAGCATTCGTGAGTTTTCATATGAAAAACCAAAATCTTTATTTCTAGAAATAACAACAGACTCATTCATTGTGACCATGATAGGAATGTTTAATAGTTATTACTAAGAATTCTCTGTAAATAAAAGTTCATATATAGCTTTGTGCTGAGAGTATGTCTCTGTATGTATCAATTTAAAAGGGCTGAATATTTCCCTCTATAATTTTATGCAAATTTATTTAAAATAATTAAATAATTTTTAGATGTAGAGACTATTTATTTCCAGGTGTACATTCAAAATATTTTCATAAAAATAAGTACACAAATCTCTCCTGGAATTCTTTTTTTATCAATGTTCCCAGAACCTAGAGTGGGAGGTCTTTGTAGACAGACCAAAAATTAAAGTAATTTTCAACTAAAGATTCTGAATAGCAACTACTGTACACTTTGTTAGTATGAATGTAGTCTTAGTATGGCATAAATCACTGTATGACTTGCAGAAAATTTACCCCTGTCATAAAATACTTCTGGAAGTTTTTATTTGAATATGACATTTAAAAGTAAAAGTCAGAGAAAGTTTTCATGTGATCAACCAAGGCAAGAAGGGAAACCATCATACTTGTTCTCTAGGAAGGCTGGCTTTTCCAGGAGTGAGAAAGTCGCATCAGAAGATCTGCATTAGCAGAAATTGTCTGGGAATTAGGGCAACATTTGTTTCCCAGCTGTTGGAGTTCCACTGTGATAGCAGCCAAATGGGATCAGCTGAAGTGCAGCAGCAAGCTCTGAAGCTCCAGCTTCTGCTCATTTTGCCACAGATTGGACTAAATGTGCATAGTAAGGTAAAAATCAGGAGTAGAGTAGAATTATATGTAAAGGCACTCATCATGTCAGCATTAACTGATTCTATATAAGCCATAATAATTGTGCGGTGTGTCTACAATTTCTTGGAAACTGCCTTGCTCTCCCTGACCGGGTAGTGTCTTTCCAGTTCAAACATGAAGACTCAGCTGATAATCACCCAAGGTCCTTTAGGGTTAACCTCTCTCTTCCAGCTGATAAAAGGCTTCTGTCTTTATCCCTTCATGAGTTCTCTTTTTTGCCTCCATCATCATCTCTGTTCCTTATTGAGATCATGGACCACTCTATCAATAGGAAAAGATTTTCTGGCATAGAGTGCCATGGCTGACAAATTTTCCATGACCCATGTAGCATCAGTGAATTATTTAAAATGCAATTCTTTGTCTATGCATCGTTACTCATTTTCTTTACAATGTAACATAGCATTAGGAATTTTGGCAACATACTTAGAGCCTTCCTATTCATTCTAGAGCAAACATTATCTTAATTTTATAAATGAGTGGATTTTAAATACATTTCAAATGCGTGCCTTTACCATCTATGAACTAGGGATGAATTTATTTTTCACGTATATCAAACATAATTAGTAATAAATGTTAGTAAATAGATCATATCCAGGCAGCCTCTTAAGGTACCCTGGTTTTGTTACATATAAATACGTGTAGCTCATCCCAAACATCCTGGTATTCTGTTTCTCTTTCCATTGAGACCTTGCAAAACAATCTTTAAAAACAAAACAATCTTTAAAAACAAAATGCCAGAGTGAAATACAAAGCTAAATGTCTTAGGGGTGAAAATTTGGAACTTGAAAACTCAGGAGAAAGTAGCTAAGATATATTTGGAAACTTAGAAATATGTAAAGGATGTGCTAGATGAAAATAGTATGAGAGCTTGCTTTTTAAATACAATAATAAAAAAAAAACAGGCTTATAAGAATCATTGGAACCCCATAAGGAAGAACTATTTTAAACAATGAAGTCATCACAAAACTTAATATCTTTTTAAAATTATGCACGATTTATAATAGAAATAAGCACTGGTATTTCCATCGCCTCATCTCAATGATTATTTCAGTCTTATTTGCCCTACTAAAGCCTTTAAGCTCATTTCCCATTTCTACTGATGTGTTAATTTTTGTTCAAGTTAATTTAGCCCGTATGCTAATTTGTTTGTGCTTTTCAGTGGGCAGCTCCTGAGCCCAGGCCCCAGGCAGCTGCTTGTGTGCACTCCTGAAATAACTATTTTATGTTTTCATCTTTTGTCAAGATCCTGGAAGCTTATCAGTTAAATACTGTTGTTAGGTTAATGGTCTTCTGCCAGTTTCTGCTTGGTCCTGCCTTGAATGTCATTCAAGATCATAAATTGAAGCTTCAGGAGCTGGGGGTCTGCTGTAGTGTTGGTGTGTTACTCAACATGACAGACTAAAATTAAGAGTACAAACTTTAAATGCTTAGTTTATCACAGTATCTAAGCAAGATCTCCTCCAACTGAGAACTTTTCATATGGGCTACAAAGTTAAATAGAAAGTACAAGAGGATGTAAAACATTTTATGCAAGTACTGGGAGTAAAAACTCAGGTTTCATGGTTGCAGAGTAAAAACTACCTATAGAGCATCTCCTAAGTTCCATCACTTTTATAAATTAAAAGTAATGTACTAATATTTCTATTATGCTAAATTTTATGATATTACTGGGTGAGAAAGCACTTTTTAAATGTTTTTTGTCAGTTCTTTGATTATTTCACACAAGGTGTTTTTATTATAGTCATCCCAACTCTTTCCCTTAACTCTGCCCAGAACTGATACCACCAGCCTAACCCTTTTCAACTACATACCCTCCTCCTTTTAAAATTAATAGCTAACCAACTCTAATATGTGCTGTCCATATACTTCTCAGTGTGGAACTGCGTATTCAAGCATATTTGACCGACTGGTAGCCTCACCATTAAAGAAAACAGACTGTCCTTCCCCAAGAAACAAGTTGTCCATAGTTTCTCAGTTAGAGATGGGGCCTCATGAGATGCTCCCCATTCTGTGCTAAAATTTTGGCTGACTTGGATCCTGAGCAGGTCTTGTGCAGGCAATTACAACTGCTGTGAGTTCGTGACTATAATGGTCCTGTCAAGTCTAAAAGAAGTTTTGAAATGCAGCCACTCCTGATGAGACCTGATAGACTAGGATCAGAGGGAAGGGGAGGAGGACCTCCCCTGTTAGTGTACTGGGGAAGAGATACAGATGGGAAAGAAAGGGAAGGAAATAGGGTGGGATTGGGAGGGAAGGAGGGAGGGAGCTACAGGGGTGATACAAACTGAATAAACTGTAATTAATAAAAATAAAAATAATTTTAAAAAAAGAAGTTTTGATCTGGTCCTTCTGAATCTTTAGTTCTTACATTCTTTCTACACCCTTTTCCATGATAGTTCCAAAACCTTGAATAGAAGGGTCTGAAGTCCTATTGCTCACAGAGTACTCTGTAGTCACTCATTCTTCTCATTTTGACCTGTAGTGAGTTTCTGTTATAACCACTGTCCGCTGCACAAAGACTCTTTCCTGATGAGGTCTGAGAAGTCTGTATGAGTAGAGTCATATGAGGGAAGCCTTGATAGAATGTCTACTCACCAAAATAACAGTAGTGGGTTCATCCTTGTGGCCTGTCAGCTCCCCAGTTGTTACTTCTTGACCAAATTGGCAACATTAGGCACGTGCTTTCTCCTGAAGAGGTAGGACTCAAGTTTACCAGAGAGTAGTTGTTTGCTCCCATAGCAGCCATGGCACTGTTTTACCCACAGATATAATTTGTAGAAAAGAATTCTTGAGAGTATTTTCTGTTCTAATTGTTTTTTTTTTTTGTTATTGTGATTAACATCAAACTCATAAATAGAGACCTCACAACCACTTCATTGATATTTTCTGTTGTAGGTCAAAAGGTGTGTTTTGCTGATGTGAAGCATCCCTGCTACAAAATGGCCTACTTCCATGAACTGTCTAGCCGGGTGAGCTTCCAAGAAGCACGCCTGGCTTGTGAAAGTGAAGGAGGTGTCCTCCTCAGCCTGGAGAATGAAGCTGAACAGAAGTTAATAGAGAGCATGTTGCAGAACCTCACAAAACCTGGAACAGGGATTTCAGATGGCGACTTCTGGATAGGACTTTTGAGAAGTGGAGATGGCCAAACATCTGGTGCCTGCCCAGATCTCTACCAATGGTCTGATGGAAGCAGCTCCCAGTTCCGGTAAGCTGTGACTGGACCCTGAGGTGTTATTATACCCTACAGGAATCAGAAGGGCAAAAGGAAAGTTCTGATACCTAGAAACACGGAGACCACATGGTCTAAGTGTCCCCATGGTTTTCTATTTCTAGGAACTGGTACACCGATGAACCTTCTTGTGGAAGTGAAAAGTGTGTTGTCATGTACCATCAACCAACTGCCAATCCTGGCCTCGGAGGTCCCTACCTTTACCAGTGGAATGATGATAGGTGCAACATGAAGCACAATTACATCTGCAAGTATGAGCCAGGTAAGTCATTTGTGCGTGTTTATCCATATCAGACTTTGTCTTTAAGGTTTACAGCTTTTCTATGTTATTCCTATAAAAGGGGCATTACCTCAGAGCTTGTCTTGTTAATATACTGCTGCACATTATTTGCAGCAAAGTAAACCTACCTGTGGGCTGAATAAAAGCAAATGGGTAGAAACATTTGATGGCAAAGATATTTCTAAGAGAAAACAATGATTTATACCAGGACCCAACTGTTCTGCTGTATTCATATTTTGTAAATGACAAATGTTTATGTGAAAATATCTTAGAAACTTATGAGAATGTATGGGAAGTAGTCATAGGCTACCAAGATGTACACACTTGTGAGCAACAGTTTCTTGGTTTATTCCTGCTGAGCTTAGGGGAGGGAAGCAGCTTTCTCCAGGCACATTACTTTGCCATGCCGTAGCATAATGCTTGCCATGTGGACCTCTACCTGAGTCTAACTCTGTGCTCCATAGTTAGAGTAACGTTATGTTACACATTTGTCTTCTGACTTGTGTCCCTCGAAAAGTGTTACTTTTGTCAATTTTTCTTTGAAATATTAAGTTACTTTTCATGCACAGCAAATGGGAAAATCACCTTGACCTAAGGCACATTACTGTGGCTTCCTGTTGAATGTAGTGAAACTGAGTTTCTTTAATAAGACACCACAATTGAATTGGAATTTGAACTAAAAGAAGGTCTAATCAAAAGTGTGCAAACATATATTTGATCATCGTCTTAGACACTCAAGTTAGATACACAAGCCTTGATATATTTATTTTTCTATTTTTCTCCACAATGTAGGAAAGGGTCATTTTGACTTTTATGAAGGATTGTCAGCATGACCTTGTAATATGTGCCCATAGAAGGCAATTATAACCAAGTACCAATGCTCCTATTATTCTCTTGAAATTACACAATATCTTTTCTCATAAAGCCACACAGTACAAGGGATTATTGGATTAGAATTACCCTTTTCTTGTGTTTATCTTGCCCTTGAGTACATTAGCCAGGTTTTTATATCCCTGTTGAGTTTATTCTTTGCCCTTGGTTGCTAAATCTGTCTTTACACACTTGGAAGTCTTTGCAAGGCTAAGTCTGTTATTCATTTATATTCTCTCTAATTGTGTCTTAGAGGAATATAGTCGTAATTCCATGATACTTTAAATTTGCTGCAACACTTGAAATTTATTAAGAAGGGGTTTAAAGGAATGAGTGTAGCTAAGTAATATGTATGGATATGTATCTATCTATAAGATATATATATAATACCCTTATCAGTTTGAAATTTATTATTTACTTTCATATTTCTACTCCCATATAGCATGAACAACAAGGTTAGAATGTTTTTTTTTTAAAAGAACTACCCTGATTTTTTTCATGAATGGGATGCTTCAATTTTAAATTTATCCTCTTCCCTAGTGAAACACACACTTTTTTTTTTTTTTTTTCTTTTTTGGTTCACTGATATCATCGATCTTTATGTCAGGACTAAATGTGGTATTTGTGTAAACTTGTCTTTTGTGGCTGGTGAGATGGCTCAGCCGAGAAAGGCACTTGTCACCAAGCCTGAAAACTGCTGTCAGTCCCAGGGATTTATATGATGGAAGGAGAAAACCTACGCCTTCAAGTTGTTTCCTGGCATCCACATGCACACCATGGCACTCATGCCCCAAACAACACAAAACAGATGTAATTTAAAAAGTGAAATTGCCTTATGAGCTTCTGTTTCTAGATAAAAATAGCATTTATAGAATTAAGTTACTAGATTTTTATATTTAATTAGCCATCACATTCAAGCATGTTAATAATGTTTTAAATGTAATTAGTTTGTTGACTAATAACATGTTTTTATAAATTGATTCAAAACATTAGTTGACATCAGTGGTTAAATTGCCAGGATATCTGGTTAAACTGCCAAACTGGAGAATAATATGAGGAGTAAGCAATCTTTAAAATATTTTTATGTTCCAAAGTCTACAGATGTCATATGCAACTTTTATTTTGTCCATAAAATAAATGACAAATAATAAATTTCAATTTTTTATTTAATTTTATTTTTTTCTTATCTGTTACATTTTATTAACTCTGTATCCCAGCCGTGTCCCACGCCCTCATTCCCTCCCAGTCCCACCCTCCCTCCCTCATCTCCACCGTGCCCCTTTCCAAGTCCACTGATGGGGGGGACTTCCTCCCCATTCATCTGATCCTGTTTTATCAGGTATCTTCAGGACTGGCTGCGAAGCCCTTCTCTGTGGCCTAACATGAAAACATTTATAGTTTTTTTTTTTTTTTTCCTCAAGGCAGAGTTTTACTTTATAACCAAATCTGGCATGAAACAGGATAGCTTCAAACTCACTGGAGTTTTTATAAATTAAAGAATGGTATTAGCTAATAGAAGAAAACTGGAGCTTATTACCCTACGTCCAAAGAGCCCTATTAAAGAAGAAACCATCAGAGATACCATGATGGGATTCCTGAAGAAAGACGTCTTTCCATTTTCCTTGAGTTCCCAAAGAAGAGCTCTATTCAGAGTGATACACTGAATAGCATGATAGACATTCTGAAGGGAAAACTCCTTTGATTCCCTTCACTGCCAGAATATTACAGGAGTTAGAGTATGTACATGAGCAGCAAGACAAAGATCTTATGGGATAGAATCAGGTCAGGAATTCCTTGCTCTTACAACTTTCCAAACGTGAGGGTTAAGGGTTTGAGGGTGCCAAGGGACCACCACACCATTGGCCTAACCTGTGTGCCAGAGTTTAATGGAGGCATGGCACTGGAGAAAAGCTGTCTTTGGGTAAGATTTGGGGAGTCAGGATGGAGGCCTTATAGCTAGTTGCAAGTGAAAGGAGACCTGAGGCCACAGTAGGCTTACTGTTATCAACTTGAGTGTGCTTCACTGCAGAATGTGGGTGGTGGGTAGCAGGGAGTTAGAAGACTTGTAACTTATTTATGCCTTACTAGGGTTTTATTGTCGTTGCTGTTGCTTTGTTTTTTGCTTTTGTTTTTCTCACAAATACAATTTACTTTGGCTAAACCGGTTTCTTAGGGGGGATAGTATATGAGATAATAGTACCAGACCATGGTGAGAAGTCTCAAGAATTTCTTATGCATTTCAGAACTGAAAGATCTAATCACACAAAGCTAGGAAAGAAACAACTTGCAAATCTTAATTTACTGGTATTTAAGGGGCCCTACTGGAATGCACATCTAAAGAATGTCATGCTCTTCAGATGGCTGCTGCTTGAATCAGCAGTTCCTCGTGCAACTACGGATTTTCTGCTAATTATTATTGCACAGTAAAGGCTGTTACATACGGAATTTTACCTGTTTCCTTTTGAATTGTGTCTTATGTCTTACATTTTAAGTTCACAAATTGCTGTTTACCCCTGTAACTTTGGGCCTCTTTGTCATTACTGATTGTAGCAGGCTGCCTTATGCAATGCACCACTCTTTATTGCTAAATGAAGTCTGGGTGACAGAGGGAATTCAACAAATTGGTTATTTTATTTAGCCATAATTAAATATTGACTACTGTTAATTAATTTCTGTACATTTATAATCAGAATATATATTTGACTACAAATTATTCAGAAATCGAAATTAACGTGTATTGTTTAGTGATACATTTTATTTTTATCAACGTTTGCATTTTCCTTGTTTAATTAGTATTCATGATTTCTGTGCTAATTATTTACAGAGATTCACCCAACAGAGCCTGTTGAAAAGCCATATCTTACAAACGAACCTGCGGATGCCCATGAGAACGTGGTCGTTACTGAAGCAGGTGATTCTCTTCTGTGTCTTATCTCTCACTTAAGGAACTGTACTTTGAACCAGTGCTTCATGTTGACCTAAGTGAAATTGGGATGTGGTAAATTAATTATGGAACCATAGACATTTCCTTTTGAATTGCATCAGAAATAATTATGTGATGATGCATTTTTAACAGAAAAGCTTTCTTAAAATTTCCACTTCAAGTGGAAGTATCTAGTAAAAGACCAAGTGCTCAGCATTAACACATATATCTGCAAAGCATTTCCCAATATAATATAGTAGGTATCACGCAAACTGGCATATTGAATAGCCTGGAGGAGCACTTTGCTGCTGACTGTATGGGGATTGTCTGAGGTAGAGATGAGTATAAAATAAGCCTCATCATAGTTTCTACAGACTTCCTTGGCATAAATTACTCTATCTGATCAATTTCAAGCTATTATAGTGATATATGGCATGTTGGATGGGATGGGCTCTCTATCTTGCTGTCACCCCAGATGACAGAGTAAAACCAAATGCAACGTGAGTCAGAGTGCCACATTGGGCAACAACTCCTCTTAATAGTCCTTAGACACCTTTTCAACATGACGTAAAGCTGGATGGACAGAAATATTTATCCTAATTCAGTAACACATAGTAACACATAGGTAACACATAGATCAGTAACACCTAGGTATCACTTTATATTTTTATTATTAATATTGGAAATAATAACAGTAATTTGAAAAAGTATTTCACAAATCCTTAAAGTGTTTCATGGACCTGGTGGAGGTTCAGAAGAGAGGCTGAGAATTGTACAGCCACTATTCTCTGAATTTTGATCCTACTAGACAGTCCTGTGATCTCAAGCGTGTGTGAAACACACACACACACACACACACACACACACAGAGAGAGAGAGAGAGAGAGAGAGAGAGAGAGAAACATGAAGTAAGAAAGGATTTAGGAGACGGATCTGTGAGATTTTGGAGTGGGGAGTGAGAGGTGGCTTAGATTAAAATAAAGTGTTTTCATATATGAACTTAAACATGTCTCTAAATTACCTATCATTATGTCCCATTAAACATACCCCTTAGCAAAATAAAGAGAAAGCAGTGAAGTGAATTCATTATGGCCATTTTTTTTTTCCAGAATCATTAAGACTTGTGATATTGTTGACTAACTTTTAGTTTGCAAGCCAAATGCAGTGTTACTCAGATTATTTGTCCAACTTAACAGACAGTCTTGTTAAGTCTTTGAGCTTTTTGTTTTAGGTGTCTGATTTTAACATTATTCATAATATGTAAACATAATTAAAATTATTAGTAAATAAACTACAGCTATTTTTCCCTCTTGTAATGTTAGATCATGATTAATAAAGTCATTTCATGCTCTGTAGGTCTTGAGTGTTGGCAATTTTCTTTAAAATCTACAAGAATACCTCTCATTATAAAGAATGATAGAGGAAGGTTAAAAAATTGTTTATTTTCATAATTTAATTAAATCATGGCATTGTCTCTAAAGTCTTATGTCTCTGGGTTATGACTGCATCACCGCTTAGTACGTGCTTATTGTCATTTAATCCCAGATACATTTTATCATGACACTGAGCTTATTGGCTAAGATAATTCATTATCTGCTAGGTCAACAATGATTATAATAATTACTATTCCATAATGTAAAGTCTTCTCCACTGATTCAGAAGAATTAATAAAATGAGACAGCTAAGATTATTAACATGTTATGAAAATTAGCCCGAGTCTGAATTGCAAATACAATAGAAATTTTAAAAGCATGCATACTTAATTGAGCATGTCAACCAGGACATTACAGTTTTGGTTATTTTCTTTCAAAGCATCCATCTATTTTTCATAAATTCTTGTACTTGGAATTTACTTTTTGGGTAAAAATTCTATTTTACCTTAATCTTTAGGGACATTTGTTCATAACTGCTGTTGGCTTCTTTCTTGAGCTCTCAACGAACACTGTTTTCCTTTTGTAGGAATAATTCCCAATCTAATCTATGTTATTATACCAACGATCCCACTGCTCTTACTGATCCTGGTTGCTTTCGGAACCTGCTGTTTCCAGATGTTGCATAAAAGGTAAAAACGTACTTCTGTCAAGATAGTTTAGGAAGAAAATCCTTTAAACATACTTTAGGATATCTTTGAAAAAATGATACCACATCTTTAACTTATAGAGTTCTGATGCTCTTAACTATCATTAAAAACCCTTCATATAAAACTGTAGGACACACTTGGATTGTGAGGCATCCAGTGTCTCCTTCGCATCTCACAAGTCCTGTGAATGGTTTGCCTTCCTGTTCCTTTTCTTTTTTTTTTTTTCAGTCAGGAAAATGGTGGAACTCTACACTTGCTTTGTGTTACGTAGTTAACATATGAGGTGGCTCTGAAGTTTGAGTACTTGTAATCTCATTTGAGATGTACCATACTGTAGTCTCTGGTTTGTTAAATAAAAAAAAAAAAGTTAAACCTCTCAATATGAATATCAAGCTATATGGCAGACTTGGTTTTTAAGATGTAGTATAGTTTCAGGATTCAAATCATAGCCTCTATTTTATTTCAAAATGACATTAAGATTAGGCAAATAACTGCAGTTATAAAGACAGTTGAGCGTGGTGACTTGAGGGACTTAGGCAGAATAATTATCAGTATGAGAACAGTATGAGTTACTGAGTTCCAGAGCTATGGCATGAGACCTTGTCTCACTAATAAAAATAATAAAATATTATTTTCCACACACACACACACACACACACACACACACACACACACATATACACACAAATACCTGGGTTCTATCTGACAGCTATTTTAAAATAAAATTATATATCCTAATAGATTTCTTGGGACTTGTCAAACACTTTTCTATGCTTATCACTAGCCTTGATTCAGTGAAGTGAAATTTGTGAATGTGGTACAGTTTGTCAATTAAATTCCAAAAAAGTATAAATATGTATCAAAGGGAAAAAGTAGAAAGATGCATTTAAATATAAAGAGGTTTGATAGAATAAATGGCCTCCTTGTCTTATGGTTAAATAACTGATCGAAAGAATGCTTGCATCAGAGAAGGACGTAGAAATGATATCATTTTTCTCTTTTTTGTTTCATCATCTTCTTTTCCTTAAATTAATTCTAAAGAACCTGAAAAGTAGCAACACCTGAAAAATGCAAATTTTAAATGATTAATATGCATTTAGAAGTGATTTAATGTAGGAATGCCAGCTAACACATGCCTTCAATTCAGAAAGTCAAGAGCTTAGAAAGCAGAGGTAATATGAGTTTGTGTCCAATCTGGGTTTCATATTTAAACAAACAATCAAACATGCACTTTCAAACCAAACCAAACCAAACCAAACCAAACCAAACCAAACCAAACCAAACCAAACCATACCAAATCAAACCAAAACAAACCAAACCAAAACAAAAATAAACAAAACAATAACGTTTTTGAAAATATAAAAATCATTTATAATAAAAAATAAAGGCTGGTAAAAGAAAGTCTAGCAAACTAATATTAAATTTTGAGACCCTCTTGACTTTCATTGAAAGACGTGTGAAACACTAAAATTTTTCCCAGTGTTGCATATATAATAAACACATTTCTTGCCCTAATTCCTAAAACTGTAGATTTCTCCTTGGGAAAACAATGGTGGAGGAAGAACACACATCCTCTCTTTAGCCCAGACAGACTGTTAGGGCGGCCATGTAAACAGCACATCGGTTAATCAACATTAAATATATGATTCAAACATTCTGCCTTGTCAAGTAACAGGTACTAATGAGTGAGCAGTGGCATTGCCTCTAAAGTTTGTTCTGTTTCACCCAAACAGTGTCTATATTTGTTTAAAAGGAGTTTGGCTGTTTGCCTTGTTTGAAAAATTTCGAGTGAGAAAATAAACCAAAAGTGGGCACTTTGAGTTGCCGGCATGAGCTGATGTTCTCTGTTCATCATTCTTAGACCCTCCCCTTTTCCTTTCTTCCAGGAAAGCAAGGAGAAACTTCATCAAAGACTCCACTCCATTATCATCTGAGTGCCTTGCAGAAAGTTTAAATTCCAATCTGGTACACATGGCAGTTTCTCTCATTCCATACCATTTCCAAAAATAACTCTTCTTCCCTTAGTTACTAGAACTTTTTAAAGTGAAATATTAATTACAACTGAAGCCACATCGATAGTTAAATATTTTTCTTACCGTTTACAATATTCTCCTCTTCATAAACTCTGCGTGACTTATTTTCTGTTCGTGCTATATATACTTGGTAAAATTAACTATGTTGATCTCACTTATGTGAAGGAATAACCATGGATCATGAAATTTGGAATTTTATTAATCACAACAATTCTCGACTTGGTACAAACGAACGAAGTTCTTTGCATTGTAATGCTTGAGGCTTTAGAAATAGTTCTTTATTGTCTTTAAGGAGTTCTGCAATTCTGCAGGCTGTTGGAATGGTACAGGGGTGTGTCTGTGAGGGTGGCAAAAGCTATTATTGCTGAAGTATGGATTCCTAGGGGCAGAAGTAAGTACTAAAAATCAGGAACTGTGAACAGACCAGGTGAGAGGATATTCCCAGGAAACTAAAGCAAAGAAATCCAGATTTTGACATACAATCAGTGGAGCATCCCTTGGTGAAACTTACAATCAGGCACTTTTTCAGGAGCCTGAACAGTGACTACTACAGGAAAAAGCACTCAGGCCCAGGCTACCATGAAGGCCTAGGTCCAATTCCAGATAACAGAAGTTACATGTCAGACAAGTCTAGGAGGAATATCTCACAAGCTCTTAAGTCACCGAATATGCTTTTTTTCTTGGGCTTCTATTGGTTTGAGAGAGAGGCAAAAATTAATCTTTTTAAAATTTATTTTTAATTTATCTATTCACTTTACATCCAGATCAGAGGCCCCTCCCTCCTCTCCTCTTTGTCCCTCCTTTCCATCCTCTTCTCCCCCCCCTCTTTTTCTGAGGAGAAAAGGAGCCTCACCCAACCCAACACATCAAGTTACATCAGGACTGAGCTCATCCTTATCCACTGAGGCCAGAGAAGGCAGCCCCACTAGAGGGAAGTGATCAAAAGCAGGCAACAACGTCTATGTTGTAGACAGCACCACTCAACTTACTAGGGAACACACATGAAGATCAAAGTGCCCATTGGTTACATATGTTTATGAGGCCTAGCTCCGGTCCTTTCATGCTCTTTGGTTCATACTTCCGTTCCTGTATGCTCCCATGCTTCTAGAGCCAACCCCTGACAACATTAACAGTACTCAGCTATGTTTTCAGACAGGAACCTAGCAGCAGCCATTCTCTGAGAGGCCCCACCCAGCATCTGATTGAATGAGATGCTAAGCATTAGGTAGAGTTTGGAGAGTCCTGTGAAAGAGTAGAGGGGAAGTATAAAAGGACCCAGAAGGGACAACTGCCACAGAAAGACAACACAGTCAACTTACCTAGGCACAATTAATCCTTCAGGATGTGAATGCCTTAAGTTCTGTTTAGGAAGACTGATGGCAGGAGGGCAATAGGAGGTTCCTTAGATTTAGGACAGACCATGTGTTTGGATGGACTGACACTAATTATATTAGCCTTTATATTAGAGTGCCCACAAAGCAAATTTCAGAAACCAGGCCAAAGAAAACAAGTTGTTTTTTTTGGGGGGGGAGGGGGTGAGTGGAAAGTTTTTGTACTCTGTCAGGCATTGTACCTGGGTAACGATGTTTATTTGCTGTTTTCAAGACTCATAAGAACTGTTTGTCATCTCTGCACATTGGGATAATCTAGACTTTTTTTTGTAGGAATTTGAAATATGCTGATGAGGAAAGAAGAACTCATGATATCTGTCTGAGTGTCTCCATTTGGACCAAGACAAGCCCCAGTTTGGTACAAGTCAGGAACTGAATTTATTTCTTTTTTATGTTTTTCAGTAAAGGAAGAACAAAGACAAGCCCTAACCAGTCTACACTGTGGATTTCCAAAAGCACGAGAAAAGAAAGTGGCATGGAAGTTTAATAATTCACTGACTTGGCTCCAGAGAACAAAAGTAGTTTTGTAATTCTTGATCTGTGTAAGGAATGGCATCCTTAGCTTGGAATGGCTTGAAATCTCAAAGGATCTGCAAGATGAGCTGTAAGCTCCCCCTTGAGGCGAATCTCAAAATAATTTTTATATGTTCATAGATTCACTTACAAAATATGCTGAGTTAATCATGAGTGAGACCTGCTTACTCTGCTAAAGGATACACACAGACTTCATGTAAATGAAACGGGCCATGAAGACAAGATTTCTGTGGACGCATTTGGAAGCCCTATGTTTGGAATAGTTACTTTTGCCTTTTTTTTTTCACCTTCATAACTTTTGTTCTACTTCATGTAATATTAGTTGTATTCAAATTTACAGTGCGCAGAAACATTTTACCTTTGCAAAAGTGATAAAAACAGTGTTATGATATTTATATTTATGACATTTCAATTTTATAGACATAGTGTTTTGATTAAAATACATACATAGTTTTTGATTAAAATGATTTCACACGGACACAAAGAAATAGTTCATGTTCTTTCCATTTCTCTGCTTTTAGTTCAACAAGGTTTAGGAAGTCTCTTCAGAAATAAGGAAATATTTCATTGACTGTGTTATAAATCTACTGAAACACTTAGAGGCAAAAACTGTCTAACTTCAATTGTGCAAGACATGTGCCTTACAATTATTCTTAATTTAAAATTAAACAGATTTTTGTAATAAAATATCTTTACTAATAGTTGTATAGACACCAATGTCATCAACCTTGAAAAAAAATGGCATCCACAGTACAAATTACAGGTCTTCACACGTTGCCTATAGAGTTGCAAGTTGTCTTAATGTGGGGAGTCAATGTGGCTCCTCCCTGTTGACCAAACAGCATGGCTGCTTGAAGGTTCATCTTGGCCCTTGAATCGGACAGCTGCAGTTTGGCAAAGGTTTCCCTAACTGAGTTTAGCTTACATTGATAGACAACGGTTTTCAGTAGTGTGATGCTAAGCAGAACACACTGATGTAACAAATTAAAAAAGAAAGGAAAGAAAAAAGAAAATGAAAAAGAAAACTACAAACAACATCAATTAATGGGCCATGGACTAGAGGTCACTGATGTTTGGATATCTTTGATGAGTGTTGGTTATGATTGTGAACTGTGGCTTTCCTTTGTCTGTTGGAGTTTCTTCACCACGTGGCATTTGTTCTTCTCAAAAGAGTGGTAACTATTTTGTCTTCAAATGTCCCTGTGTTACTTTTAACCAAATAAAGAGTTCTTGTTTCTGAAGAATGATCCCTGGTGTTGTCTATATTTTTAAGTGAACAGAGTACAGATGTGTCAGATGTGTTTCATAACTACCTGAAGGTGAAAACAGGCATTGTGTGTGTGGAGAGCATGCAAAGCAAGGATATAGAATGGACATGAAAGTTTGATGTTTCTCTCTGTTAGTCTTTTTCAGTTAGACAATAAAGCACTTCCTTAAGTAGAGTTTGTTTTTCAAACAAGAGGCAAAGAGAGCCCTGGATTTTATTTTATTTTTTTTTCTGCTTTGTGATGGAGAAGGCAACTGCATTCTGAGTTCAGCTGTCCTCATTTAGCCTCATCCTTTCTGTGGCTCTCCACCTTTTAGGTCAAATGGGACACCAGCTGCTTGGATCTGTTTTCCCTCCATGCCAACTCCACCCATTTCTTCATTTAGCGAGGACTGTGGGAAGGGAAACGGGCCTTTCCCTTTGTCTGTGGCACCCAGAACTCTAACAGCTGGAGGTTAGAAGCAGAGAGTGATGGGGGAAGGCTGTTGGCTTCTGTTTTATCATTATCCAAACCAGGAAAACTTCTAGTGTCTTTGACAAACTCCATCTGGGACAAGGGTGGGAATACAAATTTCCTTCCTATTAAAAGATGGTAATGATACCATCCTAAGGAATTCTGAATGTTTTAGCTGGCCCTTGGGAGGGGGATAACAAATACATTTTGTAACTACTCTGTATTTTAGAACATAGTTCAAATACATGTTGGGGAATGCCATTAAATATGGAGCCACATTCAAGTATTCAAAACAAACCACACACTGGACTCATCCTCCTCTTTTCTCTTTTAGGATGAGGTTATTAGCAAGTTTTTGCTAAGAAGCATCTGTTCAGGGACCCCTGATTATATATGCTGCTGTTGATGGGAATGTCTAGTCCTCTATCATCCTGCCAAGGCCTCTTGTAATAAGAAGCGTTCCATGCTCTGACTGACTTTAGGTACAGCGTGATTGTCTCTCAAGATCTGCCCTCCACTTTTAGGGCCGCTGTCACCTGCAGCCACGGTCTGCAGCGTCTCCTAAGTGCAGCAAATGGAGTCATTCCCTCCTCATGTAGTTCAAGCTTCCTTCCTCCACAAAGTAAATATAGCAATTGCTTCTTTGTATTCAACTTGTTTGAACCCCATTTATTCTTTCACTGTGTCAATTCATGTAAAAATGTGTGTGTGTGTTTGTGAAGTATGCCTTCGAGTGAGTGTGTATATGTCTGCCTGTGTTCATTTGTGTTAAGTTAGCATGAACTACAGCACATTTTGTGTGGTAAGCTAAACTGACTTTTGGCAGTTACTCTGGAAATGATCCAAGAGATTAAAGGAGTAAAGCAAATTCATTTATTACACATTTTTGGCTTTAATGGGTAATTCAGCTGTGTCTGAACAAGTTTTTTTTTTTCACATGTTGCAGACATTCTATAAATACATACACTAATAAAACATTTATGATAGTTGCATTCATTCAGAATACCTGCTGATTTCTGAGATTAAAAAAAAGATCAGCTTGAAGTAAATGTAAAGTCAAGTGATCCAAAAGATCATATGTATAGAATGACCGTGCAACATACTTTATGTTGATGCTAGGTCAGGAGAGAGAGATAGCGTTGTGCGTTTTCTTCACCTGGAAGAAAGACATCATTATGATGTTGTCATGTGAGCAATATGGGTTTACAACAAATGAACTTTTGTAAGCAGGGAAGTATTATCTTTAAATACAAATGCACATGGATGGAAAAGCAACAAAACTGGTGATTCTGATGGCACACTAAACTGGGACTTGGTGAGTTATAACAGTTCATTTCAAATAATGACATACTTCAGCAAACTATTTCATGTCACTTCTTCACCTATTTTTGCTTACGTGTATGAAAAATGTCTTAAATTATTTTTCTTTGCACAATAGAAAACGGTAAAAAATGATTCAAGACAAAAGGTAATGCCCATAAAGTAGTAATTGTTTATTATGAGACAGAAATGCATTTTAGGTTACTTTATGTTGCAAAGATCAATTTAATTTTGTGATTTGTATCTCCCCTCCATTTTTTCATTTAAATAACCCCCCCTTTTTTTTCTCATGACACTCTTAGCTGCCATGCTACTTTGAGTAAGAAGGAAGAGAAAGACACCCTGCCCACCTTTGATGTTCGGATTAGGAAAATGCCTAATGTAGAAAGCTGTATATCCATTCTGTAAACTTGGAAACCCGGACGTATACCCCAGGGTGGTTAGGCAGTGCACACTTAACTCCAAATGATGTCACACCAACAAGAAACCACCTGTTGTTTTCTTGGCACATTAATGGTCCTCCCGAATCACCCTGAAGTGTGAACAAGAGAAAAGTTGTGGTTGCATGGCCAATACATAGCAATAAGTACAATGTGCTAAGCTCACCAATCAAGAAATAAATGTACAGCAACTTGATTGATCGCCAGTTATGCTTTTGTGTTTTTGCTGTTATTCTCATCTTGACAAATTTGCTCTTAAAGAAGACTGGGCAAATGGTAACAGCAGAAAGTTTCTGATGGTATCCTCTTCAGCACTTTTGTCCTCGTTTATTTCCTCACTTATTTGATTTCTTTTTTTATTAAATTTTTATTTTTTATATTAATTACAGTTTTTTTTTCAGTTTGAACCCCAGCTGTAGCCCCTTCTCTCTTCCCCTCCCAATTTCACCTTCCCTTCCTCATCAGCTCCCCTGCCCTTCTCCAAGTCCATGGATAGGGGAGGTCCTCCTCCCCTTCCATTTGACCCTAGCTTATCTGGACTCATCCAGTCTCATCCAAACTGGCTGCATTGTCTTCCTCTTTGTATTGGCAAGGCTGCTCCCTCACCCAGGGGAGGTGCTCAAAGAACTAGCCACTGAGTTCGGGTCAGAGACAGTACCTGTTCCCCTTACTAGGGTACCCACTAGGATACTGAGCTGCCATGGGCTACATCTGAGCAGGGTTTCTAGGTTATATCCATGAATATACCTTGGTTGGAGTATCAGTCTCAGAAAACACCCCTGTGCCCAGATATTTTGGTTCTGTTGCTCTCCTTGTGAAGCTCCTGTCCTCTCCAGGTCTTACTATCTCCCCCTTCTTTCCTAAGATTCCCTGTTTATGAGTCTCATTATCTGCTTTTATACAATGCTAGATAGTCTTTCAGAGGCCCTCTGTGGTAGGCTCCTGTCCTGTTTCTTGTTTTCTCCTTTTTCCAATGTCCATCCCATTTGCCTTTCTGAGTGAGGATTGATCATCTTACCCAGGGTCCTCCTTCCAGCTCACCTTCTTTGGATTCCAATGCAATTAAACAATCTCTAAAATGCTACAGTAAAAACTCATGTCAACCCAAACATGCTAATCATTTTGTTAAATGATATGTGGAGGATCAGGAAAGCCTTTGAAGAAGAGGAAAAACTATTCCATGTCATGATTTTTCAAAGAGTGAAGAGCTTATACATGGTTTTGGAATTAGTTCTCCTTTATGACTGAAAGTTTTGTTAATTAACAATCAAATTTGAAAAACTTTAATAATGCAACTGAAATAAGCAAATTTCATGGTTTCTCGTAACCAGCACACATGATTTCATTTGAGATTTCATTTATAGGAGAATGTCTCTTTGTAAGAATATAAATGACAGTGGGTCATAGTACAGGTAATTGCATAGGTCCTATTTATGCATAATGATTCCTTTCTAAGAAACAGAAAAATGATATGGATATGAGTAGCATTGTTAGATTATGAAAAAAATTTTCCCATATTAATTATGCAAAGAATTTTGGTTTTCTATCTATATAGGTATTTTTCAACCTGTCGTTTTTTGAGGCTTGACTATGTAGCATTTTCTGGCCTGAAACTGGCTATGTATACCTGGGTAGCACTGAACTCACAGAGAATTCCTGTGTCCACTGGAATTAAAGGCATTTACTACCCAGCAAGTTGTGTTTTTTTTTTTTTTTAATCATCAAATACTATGAAACCCTATATGTTTTGATCGGAATGACTGCTGTAATGAAGTATTTAAAGTTGGGCTAGATGTTGGGAATTATCCTGGGAAACTTCTTGCCTAGTATTTTGACCGTCTTTTGGTGGCATATTTAATGGGGAAATGGTGGCTTGTCAAAGCATTGTCGGTTCCACAGAGGGGTGTAGAGCTGGACAGTGACAGTGGCAATCACTGGTCACCTACATTCAAGGTGAAACAACCTGCCGAAACTCTCCAAAGGAATGGCTGTGCTTTTTATTTTTGTATCCTGAGGCCTTTACTCTGTACGTTATAAACATTTATGGGGAAGTCTCTTGCTCACAGTATGTTAGACATTATTAAGAAGTTATTAAAACTGAACCAAGGTTTAATTAGATGTTTTTAAGAAGAGTCATCTGGTTACTTCTATTTTATGAAAATAATTGGCATTTTAATAGGTAAGTATAAGATATTGATGCTAGAATCAAGGATTTAACTTACTCAGTGTGTACTAAGTCAGCTGAGTTGCAGCGATTCCTGAACCACGAGAAGGCTTGTTGCCTTTCTCCTAGCTGTCTGCATGGATGGAAGACTTGGCTTTATTTCTATTAAATAGCTTCAAATTATCTAGCCATATAATGCCATTTATATTATGTAAATTACTGGCCTTGATTTTACAATTTAGTCAATGGGAGTTTTCCATTATGTTAAAGAAGAAAACAGTGCAACCAGTCCTGATGAGACCTGATAGGCTAGGGTCAAATAGAAGGTGAGGAGGACCTTCCCAATCAGATGAGGGACTAGATAAGGGGCATAGACAGAGAAAAGGGAGGGAGGGTGGGATTGGGAGGAGAACAAGGAGGGGGCCACAGCTGGGATACAAATTGAATAAATAGTAATAAATGAAAAGAATAAAAAAGGAAAAAAACTGACTTTGTGTTTTATAATATTTACAGTATATAAAAATATATAGTATACATCAATACAAACACAAAGTTGTTAACTTCTTAAATGTGGAAGAGTTGGTGACCAATTTTTTTTTTCAAGAACAATGGTTCTCCAACTTTATTATATATTACAGTCACCTTTAGGACACAAGAAAGCATCCATCAGTGGGCATCAATGTAAGATTCTGATTTGTAGGTGTGTGATGGGCTCTTAAATTTGAAACTTAAACAGACTGGAAATTGATCGCTTTGATCCATTTGAAGGACTTTTGGCCGTGTTCTTGATGCTACTGATGAAGAATGTAGTTTCTGAATGGACGATGAGATGATACTCATTCTTCTTAGCAATGAGAAGTTATTCTAAACTCTCTCTTATTGACTCTAAACTCAGAAGTCTTTTCAAATATGCAAAGTAACTAGGTTTGCCTTATTGGACAATTTTTGTTCAAAACAATGACTCAGTGAAAATGTTCAAACAATAATATAGTTAAAAATTTAAATAATGTTATTATTTAATTAGTTAATATTAAACTTGAACAAAAATGTGACAATCTAGAGATGGTTACTCAATTATAAAACATTCTATTACATGAAATATTTCTATGCATTTGGAATATCTTTCTTGCTAATGAATGACATGCTTAGCTACCGTAGAAAGCAGAGCCAAGCACAAGATTTCTCAGATCTGGAATGAATTACTGGCTTAATGTAACTCGAAGATCAATAACATTAACTATCATATTTTCTACCTCATTTGTGAGGTGTCTGCCATGCAACCCCATTAACTGTAATTGAAGTTGTATATCTGATTTCCGTCTTGCAAATAATTCTATAAATCACACTTAAGTGTTAATGTATCTTATCCTTAGCACATTTTTCTTTTTATAAGGAAAGTATAAAGATCCAGAGGTAAATTTTAAACAAGTATAAAGCTATTTGATTTGTATTGAATTTCCAAATGCTCATTAAAGCAGAATAAAAGTAAAACCAAACTGAAAATGTAAAATGACTTTAGACATTGATTTAACTATGAAATGTATCTATACATTTATGTCTGTTAAAAAGAGTCAAATTATGAGATGCAGGTTTTACTGTATGAAGCAAATTTCTACACTTTAACACAGTGTAACTCTTTTTCATGATAAAAATAGCTACTTTCACATGCATAAATCATTAATTTGTTCTGTAATATTTTATAGTTTAATGCAGTAGGTGTGGATGCATTAATATTTTATTAATTTTGAAATAATTAAGACATTCCAGAAAATGCATTTAGTAATTCTCCCAATAAAATATCATAATTGGTTTTTAATGTTTACTGATTGTACATGTGTCATCTTACCTAGCCCTTTCCGTGAATGACAAGTGGCTTGCCTAAGGTCATCCGTTCTCAACAATTTACCATGAAAGGGTAGTTGAGGATCCTTAGTGATTTCATGATTTCCAAATTATATCTAAGCAGAGAGAACACTTTCTAAATGTATATGATAGCTATTGTATATTTACCTGACAGGAATCTATTCCTCCTTCTTCATATCCTGCACATATCATACTTTCAGTGATGTTGTATTCTGGCAGCTGTTGCTGGCACTTCTCGTTGGATACAAGAGGAATATCAGCTTCTTTCAGCACATCACTAGTGGAACCTGCTCAAATCGAGAAATTCAGACAGCCAGTCAGTAGTGATTAACAGGCATCCATCTTACTTAGTTTAGCATGTTGCTCTCATCTTTCAAGTACTGTGTGGATGCATAATGGAACTAACTACTAACCTTGCACTTTAAAGTACATAATAAACCCATCTGTGCTCTTTGGCAAATAGATAGCAGTAACACACTTCTTTCTTTTGTGAAGGGTAGTAGGAATTTTGGATTGGACGAAGGTGGTCTTTAAGCATTTTCCATGGTTTTAAAGAGTTACAGTATTGCTCACAGAAATGAAGTCTGCCAGCACAAAGCCTTCATTCATGGAAATCAGTACCAACTTGGAGATCAAGAAGAGCTTTTTATTCAGCACCTGAGGAGGTACTCCCTCCTGTATAATGGCATTCAGCTCTTTTGTGGTTCTGTGTGTATGAGCAGGTGCACATTGAGCAGAAGACAAAGCTCCGATGAACTGGGCTCTGCTCTGGGGGCAATCAGTTTGCCATCCTATGCAGGTGAAGAGAAAGGAAGTGTATTTTACATTGTATATTAGCATTTGTTTTATATAACGAATCATTCACTGGAAGTATGGATCTTTGCTTACTGAACTACTATCCCCAAGAGGCTTGTCAAGCAAGCAGGTGCTGCCTCCAGAAAAGGTACATAAGCATTTCCTCATGATTAGCAATTCTATTTGGTGTTGCAGAAGAGGTAGAAAGTTAAGGGTAACTTACTATTTCTGTCAGGCAGTATTGTAAAAACATATACAATAATATTTTGAGCTACGTTTCACTTATACATTTGAAAATTAAAATGTTAAGGAAACAAACAAGCATGTGTGCCTGGTTATGTGTGTGATTTAAGTGCATTAAACACCACACACACACACACACACACACACACACACACACACACACACACACACAC